TCTTATAGAAGATTGTACCTTCTCTGTTTAGTTCTGCAGCTCTAATTATTTTCTCCAGAAGGAGGTTGAAGAAATCGCACGATAGGGTGTCGCCTTGTCTGAAACCTCGTTTGGTATCGAACGGCTAGGAGAGGTCCTTCCCGATTCTGACGGAGCTTTTGGTGTTGCTCAACGTCAGTTTACATAACCGTATTAGTCTTGCGGGGATACCAAATGCAGACATCGCGGCATAAAGGCATCTCCTTTTCGTGCTGTCGAAAGCCGCTCTGAAATCGATGAAGAGGTGGTGAGTGTCGATTCTCCTTTCACGGGTCTTTTCCAAGATTTGGCGCATGGTGAATATCTGGTGGGTTGTTGATTTTCCAGTTGATAATATAATGCACTGATTTTAAGTGAAAGTATGCTATTTAAAAAAACTCAGTTGGTTTGGCAAAAGATGGCGGCGGATAGCAGCGAGACGTGAAAACGTATTACCGATCCATGGTAGTGTCGTAGAACGAACTGATCTGAATCTGTTCATCGGTCCTTCTTTGTCCCCATTGGTGCTGAATCGGATTGTGTGATTGTGGTTGGTGTACATGTGGTCAGTGTGGTGAATGTTGCGTGTCAGTGGTGTGAGTTCGAGTTGATGTGGTGTGCTAATGTGGTGTGTGTTGAGGTCGGGGGAGGATGCTCATTTATACAAGCATTCTACGTAAAATTTTGTCTGCCCATTTTTGCTGTTGCTTGCATTCTAAATATTTTAAGCGGCACATTTTATGTGTTTAATGCCTTTGCCAAGATTCGATTATAGTATTACTTAAGATTTTTTCTACAATTCAAAGAAACAATATCCGTAGATTAAATTCTATGTATTACAACCACCCGACTAAGATATTTGTACATCTTGGTCATCCTTGGCAGAGGATCAGAATTTCTCATGCATTATTTCAAAAATGTAGTGGAAATATAAACATATTCCAAATGTAAATATTGTTTATTACTTAGTATAATGTTTTGAAGATTATTATTGTGCCACAATTGTTCTCAATTTTTTAATTGTTTTTTTTTAATTTATTTTTTGTAAATTATATCAAAAAGGTAGATTTAAAATTGTATACCATGTACGGATGAAAATGTGCATCATTGCAATCTTACAGGTGGAGAGGTAAAACAATAAATATGCAATAAACTTATGATTCGAAAATATTCTTGAAAATGTTCATTTCTGTATCTTTTATTTTTAGACGTAAATGCAAACTAGTATGAACTCATTATTTCCATTTATCTGAGAACTTTTTTAGTTAAGTTAAAAATAAAATCGCTTACCTTTAAATATGGGAGCAATTTTAAAAACCCCCAGACCTCCGATTGTTAGCATTTGTCCCAGCGCTAATTCCATAAAAAACATTGGTATCCCAGCCAATATTAGAGTCAAGAAATATGGTATAAGGAAGGCCCCTCCCCCATTTTTGTAGCATAGATATGGGAACCGCCAAACATTTCCCAGTCCGATAGCAAGACCCACAACAGATAATATGAAGTCTAGCTTTGATGACCAGGAACCACGTTCCGGTAAGCCATTATGGTTTCGCATCTAATTTAGAAAGATTTAGTGAAATTACTATTGCAAATTCTATAACATTAAATTACAAAATCAATCCGAACCAAGTAAGGAGGGATATGTTCGGGTGCAATCGAATATTTTATACTCTTGCAAATTGAAATAATCAAAAGCAGGAAATACATTAAAATGTAAAACGTCAACCACAGGTTTGGAATCTAAACAATTTTATATATACTCGTATGTACATATACTCTATTCGGATTTGTTAGATGTACCTCAAATACAATGTTCCGGATGTTCGAAAATCCTGATGGTACTAGCTAGCTATAGGGGGTGGTATTTTCATTAAGATAAATTAAAAATTAGACACATATACAGCTTAAAGACCTGGAACTTCGAAAATTTTTTATTAGATATATGGGGGCTCAAGGAAGTATTCAACCGATTTAACCCATTCTGGAACACAGAATAACTGTTATCAGTATTATTGGATGATAGAGTGATATGTAGAAGTTCACGCAAGTGGAGAAAGTTCTCTGATCGCCATTCACTTGGGAGTGGCCTGAAACGATTCTTTTACATATGGCTCAAGCAGCTCACGATTTCCGATCTTTACCCAAGTATCCTGTGGGTAGCCTAAGAACACCCGCTTGAATACAAGCTAAAGTGAGAAAGCGAAATATCTCCTTCGCAGGATTTGGGACCCGCCATGTAAAAAACACCCCCAATGAAAAGATACCGACCGCCTCGGATGAGATATCCCCCTTTTGATAACGACGATGGCGAAAGAAATAAGGACTACGATTTTAAGGCATGAACCCGGAACGTCCGCTCCCTTAATGGATGATGGTTGATGTCCTCGTCAGAGGTAAGGCTGACATCACCGCCGTCCAATAAATGCGATGGACGGGACTAGGACTTAGGCGAGTAGGTCCTGGTGACATTTACTGCAGTGGCCATATAAAGGAGCGCATGTTTGGTGTAGGATTCGTGGTGGGAGAGAGACTACGTCGCCGAGTACTATCATTCACTCCGGTGGTTGAACGTCTAAGCACAATCCGCATCTAAGCGAGGTTCTTCAACATATCGCTGATTTGCGCCCTCACCCCGACGTAAAAAAAGCACTATGATGATCAAAGATGATATAGATATGAGCGCTTGGAGCGCAGTTCTCGATGCCGTTACAATGTCAAAATCGTGCATGGGTACGTGCACACCAGGGTAGGAAAGGAAGGTATATTTGGCGCAACAGTCGGTAACTTTAGCCTCCACAAGGAAACATCCTCAAATGGGTTGAGGCTGATCGACTTCGCTGTGGTCCGAAATATGGTTGTCTGTAGTACTAGATTCCAGCATAACAAGATACATCAAGCTACCTGGCTGTCTCCGGATCGAAAAATCACCGGTCATGTTGTGATAGACGGAAAACACGTCTCCAGTGCTCTAGACGTGCGTACGCTCTGAAGTCCTAACATTGGCTTCGACCATTATCTTGCTGTAGCCAAGATTCGTACCCGCCTCTGTTCAGCAAGGAATACATACATATGTTTACGTAGACAAAGACAAAGACAAAGTTAAGTGAGTTAGTGACGTGAAGTGTTTTTTGGTGCTCTATTTATGGCACCAAGTACGATAGGAAATAATCCAAATTATGCGAGAGTTAAGGTATTCCTTATAGTAGTAACAAACATCAAAGCAACCTTTTGTTTCAGTAAAAAGAATGCGTCAAAACAACCTTGAACAATTGGTACAATTGGAACAAGGAACAATTGAAATGCACTATCACTACAACAAACAATCCTAAACAAACATCAAAACCACCTTGAGGTTGGTATTCAAACTACCTTACCTTAAAACAAAGCAAATGAATCTAAGCAAACAAAACATATGTAAACAAACCTGAACAAATAATATAATTTGTATCTAAACAAACTATCAACTAGTAATAAGTAAACATTAAATAGAAGTAAGAACCATGTAATGAGTTAGTCTTAAGAGTATTAATAAAGAGTACACATTTCAGTGAAGCTCAAAAATATATTATTTTGACTCATTTCTACTTCTGACAAAAATTAACTCGAGCGAAGAACAGAGCGCGCTTGCTGGTCTAGACATACTAATATCACGCCAGCGGCCAAAAACAAAGGCATGTAAATCAACACATGCGAAACCTAATAGACAAGATTTCGCAAATACAAAAACAAGCAGTAGCAGAGGTTAGGGAGTCGGCAATCCACCCGATAGTTCAGACGAAAAGAGATCGCATTACACTCACTGAAGAAGCAATGGTGGGGAGCAGATCAAACAATCAAAGGACAAGCCAACCAAAGGACCGCAAAATTGCAAAAAGCGATATTTATTTCAAACCACGGGACCTTTCCTAAGCGGAGATTCTACGGAAAATTAAGTCCGACTCAACACTCAGCGGATTCGGAAATATTGTGACAAAGATGCTTTAAACTCAAAGCGGTGAAATGTTGCTACAATTAAGCGGAGATGTGATTCCAACCGACTCTCAGGAGACCATGAAAAAACGTCTTGGGGATCAAACCAAAGTTTAACTTCTGACCTAGAAGACTCTACTGGAATGCAAAGACCTTGATGAAGTCACAAGCAACGAAGAAGGAAACACTGATCGGTCGACCTCTACCATCAAGAGCTTAAGAAAGTCTTATGGAGGCACCCAAATAGCACTAATTAAACTACCGGTTGAGGCAGCTTCTACCGACTAGAAAGCTGAAAGTTGGATGGATAAATTGCGGTAATCGAGAATATAGACAACCACAGCGATGCTTTAAATGTCTCTATCCCAAACCATTGTCAAGGGGCAAATAACTTATTAAAACAATCAGTTGCCGAAAAGCAACTGTGGTTCTAGTAAGTGAACCATACAAAATCGGCCAAGGCGTAACCTGGATAAGTGTCACTCGAAATAAAGCTGTTATATAGTAATGTGACCCTAGCTTTACGCAACTGGAATCACCATTCTCTTAGGATGGTTTAGTTCGAACAACTATTAATAATATTAATGTTGTTACACTCGTGGCCACGCAAACCTTACCACTATAGTTTTTTAAATTTTTTTCGGACTTTTTCGTTCGTTCGGGATTTTTATCAATTTTGGTTTTTTGTAAGTTTTTAATAAGCAGACCAAATTAAATTATCTAATTATAGTCATAGTTTTTAATTTATTACGTTTAATGAGTAAAACACAAATTAGCTATTTTGTGTTTATACAAAAGCGGCCGTTTTCTTGTTTTTAAAGTGATACACCTACTAAACTTCGTGTTTCAACTAAAAAAAATTAAAAAAAAATTAAATGTTATACTAATTTCAAATATATTGTAAATGAAATGAAATTAAAAAATATCATTTTTATCTCATCTCTGTATCTTACATTTCGAGCTCATTTTGTATCTTTCAATTGATTTATCTATAGCTAAATGTGTTTTGTTTTTAATTTTAAATACTTTTGATAAACAATATTTCTTTAAATTATTTCTAAATAAAAATGTATATACCGCAAAAAGTACCGCTTTAAAATGTAGTCAAATATGCACAAAACTTGAAAATTTTGAGTGGTAAGGTATGCGTAGCTTACTTACCTTCTAGCCTTAGCGACGAAGAATACAGACGTATTATCAACAACCTAGCGGCCGATGCCAGATGCAAAACCAAAGTAGTAATAGCTGGTGATTTTAATGCCTGAGTACCGAATGGGGATGCAAAAGAACCAACAGCAGAGGAAAAACCTTACTAGAAGCTTTTGCCTCTTTTTATTTGGAGCTTTTAAATGCAAGGAATTCCTTCTCTTTCAAACCAACTTCTCTTACCGACAATTGGTTGTTGCCTAACAAAGCTGCTTTCAAGATTATGAGCTGTATTAAGGGCGCATGCGACGATTCAAGGTCTAAGCTATCATGTCGCAAACACCTCTCCCCAGTGTATTGCTGAAACGACCCATTCGCTAGATTACGTAAAGAATGCCAAGGAGCTTGTACCAAAGGTCACGTGATACATCTGAATACTCCACCCTTGAAAAACATTTTAAAGTCAAAAGAAAATTGCTAAAACTGTCGATTAAAAAAGGAAGCAGAAATTCTTCCTTACACTGTGAGACCATGTTGGAAACAACGCTTGCGGACACGCATATAAAACGGTAATGGGAAAATTCCACACTGGCGGACAAATGCCAACCTCCCTCTCAACAATTGAGAGAATAGTCTCGGTACTACCCCTCCATCAGGAGATCGTGAGAGTACCACAAACTCTAGTTATTCCGGTTGTTTCGAATGAAAAAGTCCGAGAAATATGCAGTTTGTTAAACCCATCTAAAGTCCCGGGACCAGATGGAATTGCGAAACACCGATTGCTAGAAACATAAATCCTTTCCGAACAATGTATAATATATGCATCAATGAACATCCGTTTGAAGGCGAGAGTGAGAAGGCGAAATATCCCCTACATAGGACTGCGCGCTGGGTTTGGAGTTCTTGAGCAACGAGTTTGAGACCCGCCACGTTAAAAAACACTACCAATGAAAAACTAACAACGGCCTCAGATGAGAGACCCCCTTTTTGATGACGACCATGGCAAACGAAATAAGGACTACGAATTGAGTTCATGCACTTGGAATGTTCGGTCTCTTAATTGGGAAAGTGCGGCTGCCCAGCTGGTTGATGTCGTCGTGAAAATAAAAGCTGACATCACCGACGTCCAAGGAATGCGATGGTCGGGACAAGGACAGAGACAAGTAGGTCCTTGTAGCATTTACTACAGTGGCCATATAAAGAAGTGCAAGTTTGGTGTGGGATTCGTGGTGGGAGAGAGACTCCGTCGTTGGGTACAATCATTCACTCTGGTGAATGAACATGTAGCCACAATCCACATCAAAGCGAGGTTATTCACCATATCGCTGATTTGCACCCACGCCCCGGTGTAAAAGAAAGAGGCTGATGATCAAAAATGCCTTCTACGAGCGATTGCAGCGTACTTATGAGAGCTGCCCCCGCCACGATGTTGAAATCGGG